GATGATTATGGTATCCCTTCCGGTCATCCAGAGGAAAACATACACTCCAGGAATCATTCGTACCGACCACTTTTTTCAATTTCATCTCAAACATGCATCCGGTAAATTTTGTTTTCGACTTTCTGAGGACAGCATTAACAAGATTGGATATTTACCTCGATAACGTTCCCCTCGGTTACACTTCAGAATCCTCAATGTTCCTCCCTTTGAGTTCTTTGAAATAATTAGTTCAAAATCACAGATAGTTGCCATACCGACTGCATAGTTAATAGCTTTTTTAAGACTATCAAATATCTCATCTGTTCTGAAAAAAGGCCAATAATCAACATTATCTCCTCCAAAATCTTCAACTGGCGCCTGCAATATATTACCAAAACATAATCAATTATAAGTAATCATTAAAAAATAATAATTTATATTATATTATAACAACACATTTTAAAAATACTTATTACTTTTTAATAATAATATATATATGACTAAAAATATTATTATTAAAAATATTTTTAATATTTAATATTTTCGTATATTAATTATTTTTCATATATATTATTTTAATATATATTTTAATAATTATATATATATTAATTATATGTAATTAATATATAATAATTTTTCATATATTATAATTATATATATTTTTAATGATTTAAATATATAATTATATTTTGAATATATCTTGAATATATATTTTTAAATATATAATTATATTTCATAATTATTATAATTATAAATATATATTATAAATATATAATTAAAAAAAAATTATAATATATATAATTATATTTCGTATATTATAAATATATAAATTATATATAATATATATTAAAAAAAAAAATGGGCACGCCGGCCGGCCGGCCCGCCAGACCGGCCGGTTCAGGTCTGGCCGGTTAACAAAATCGGCCGAAAATGGACCGGCCGACCAGAGTCAAAAAACCTTGACCAAGGGCACCAAGGGCCGGCCGGCAACATTGGCCGGCTAGACCTGAGCCGGCCAGCATAAGCGGCCGGCCAGGGATGAACCGGCCGGTCCGGCCGGCCGGCCGCCGAGAAAAAAAAAAATTACCTTACTCGTCGCCATCGTCGTCGCCGGAGTAGGTCGGAATTTTTTTTGGAATTTTTCGAAGTCCGGAACTGGGAGAAAAAATGTGTAAAGTGAATAATGAATATTAATTTTTTTTTATTAAAAAGGGCAAAAACGACTTTTAGGGGGCGGTAACTATGGAAAAAGGGGGGCGGCAAATATCAACACCCTTTCAAAACTGTCTCCAATGATGTGACAATGAGAAAGCTACAAGCCAAGAAGACCATGTTCCACGTGTTCCAGTTGTAATTATTCCCAGTTTTCCACTCATCCTCATATGTATTATCCTAGAAACAAGCAGTAAATCCCAATCCTAGATAGCTTTTGAAAAACATAACCAAAAAAATAAATAAATAACTGCAAAGCTTGCATCAAGATCTCTCACCAAAATGGATTCAAACAGAGTCACTTTGAAAATCCTCATGTTCCCATGGCTAGCTCATGGCCATATATTCCCTCATCTCGAGCTAGCCACAAGACTCCTCAACAGAAAGAACTTCCACATTCACCTGTGCACAACCGCCGTCAATTTCCCCTCAGTCCAAGACTTCATCCTCAAAAACTCTCTTCAAGACTCCATACACTTGGTTCAACTCCATTTGCAGACATCGCCGGAGCTTCCCCCGTACCAGCAAACCACCAAAAATCTTCCCTCCAACCTCGTCCCCGACCTCCTCAAACTGTTTCAGACATCGGAACCTGACTTTTCAGACATTGTCGGCACCCTAAATCCCGACCTCGTAATCTACGATGGTTTCCAACCGTGGGCCGCCAGAATTGCTTCGTCTAAGAACATCCCGGCCGTCCATTTCTGCCCCCTCGGGGCGGCCACCAACTCCTACGGCTACCACCACTACCACTCCACTGAACAGAGCTTTCCTTTCCCGGAACTCCATCTGGCCGACCACGCGAAGGGGAGCATGGACTCGTTCATCGAGTTTCTAAAGGACAACATCTTTTTCGAGGAACGGGACTCTTCCATCAACTTCGAGCTGTCGTCCGATGTTGTCCTGCTGAAGACGTGCCGGGCGTTGGAGGGGAAGTACATCGACTATCTCTCGGGGGCCTTCCGGAAGAAACTGCTGGCCGTGGGCCCGCTTGCCGCCGTCCCCGACAGCTCGGGAAGCTCGGAGATTCTGCGGTGGCTCGACAGGAAGGGCCCGCGCTCGACCGTGTACGTCTCGTTCGGCAGCGAGTGCTTCCCGTCCAAGGAAGAGATAGCGGAGATAGCGAGGGGGCTCGAGGCTTGCCGCGCAAGCTTCGTGTGGGTGATTAGGTTCCCAGCCGGGGGGTCGGTTCCCCTGGAGGAGGCCCTTCCGGAAGGGTTCCTCGGGAGGGTGGGGGACAGGGGGCTGGTCGTGCCCGGGTGGGCCCCTCAGGCCGATGTCCTGGCGCACCGTAACACGGGCGGGTTCGTGAGCCACTGCGGGTGGAGCTCGTTGACCGAGAGCGTGTACTATGGGGTGCCCGTCATAGGCATGCCGATGAAGCTCATCATGTTCATAGATGTTAAGATGATGGTCGATGCCGGTGTTTGTGTGGAGGTCGAGAGGAAAGGGAATGGTGAGGCGTATAAGGGAGACGAGATAGCGAATGCGATAAATGAAGTGATTGTGGAGAAAACGGGAGAACGACTGAGGGGAAAGGCACTTGAGTTGAGCGAGAAGATGAGGGCGGAGGAGGAGGTGGAAATGGATGCAACGAGTGATTTGTTGTGGGAGGTCTGTTTACAAGCCAAAGTTCAAAAGGAGTGAGTGAAAGCCTTGTTGTGGGTGCTCTGTTTACAAGCTAAAGTTCAAAAAGAGTGAGTGAAAGTCGGTAAAACATGTTAGCTTTCGTGTAACAAGTTTATGATGCAGTTTTATTTCCAGCATGTACTTCAAGTTCCTGAGAGAATCATAACTCAAAGGGGTTCAATAATTTCTGAAATTATTTCAGGTGACAGTGACAAAGTTTACAAAAGTCGAATAAAGATTGAATAATCGTATTTTTCAAAATTCAGAACCTCAAGTCCAAGCATCACTATCTGATAATTGGTATTGACTATTGAGATCATGATTTTCGCTTATGTCATAGGGATTCTTTAACTTTCGATTTTGAATCTCTCAAATGGAGTGTAATCTACAACTGTTATGAGGCTAAAGATATCTAGGCATGCACAGGGAACACCACTCACTTGAGAAATGTCTCAGGACAATGACGTTGACCACGATACTTAGTCGAGACTCTCGAGAAACTGAGAGAAACTGGGATATTTTGGCTGCCACCCTAGTTCTGATCGAGTTCTTGAGTTGTTCAATTTCTTACCTAAAGGACCCGTTGTCCCTGCAAACATAAAAATCGAGGACAATTTAGAGTATATATATATATAATATATATAATTTGCCAAATAAATTGCAGTACAAAAGTAGGAAAACTCACCTGTAAAACCTTCAAATTTCTTACTATATTTTCCGCTCTTGCTAACCAATTCCATTACATCCTGCCTGAAAAGCAACGAAAATATAATCACAATTATTTAGATTGTTGTCCTACATTTGTACATGTATATCAAGTTGAACAAAACCTGGATAACGGGTTATTATCACAGCCAAGAAAGATCTGGCTACGAAATTTCTTTTTCAAGATGACAATTGAAAGAGAAGCTGCATCCTGAACAATATACAAGTGCTAATTCAAGTCAAACATAAATGAAGCAATATACATAACATCACAACAAGTTTTTCAGATGTATGGCCATTGGTAATCATTACATGTGTGCGAGAGAGAGAGAGAGAGAGAGAGAGAGAGAGAGAGAGAGAGAGAGAGAGAGAGAGAGAGAGAGAGAGAGTCACCTCATAATGTATTAGATTTAGGATGTGATCGGATCGAGAATCAGCACTGCCTTTCTTCAACCAATATGCATGGGCACCTCTATCTTCTTTGTATTACAAGTTAAGGAAGGTTGTTTACATGGTTTGTTTCCATTATTTGAACTTGGAAGTTTCCATTATTTGAACTTGGAAGTTTCCAAATTTGGATTAAAAATCTAAATAGGATATATAAAGCCCAGCCAGCCTAACAACACTGTTGGGAAATAAGGTCGGATAAGATGGAATAATAATAATACACCAATGTGGAATCAATAAAAGACACGAATATTTGTTAACCCAGTTCGGATTAAATCCTACGTCTGGGGGCGAACCAAGCCAGGAGAATGAACTAGAATAAGAGGATAAACCGAATGTTACAACTCACACAAGCCCGTATGAATACACTCTCTCTACTCTTTCTTCACACTTATATGTATTTCTTTTTCACTTGGATTGGATACAAATGAGGTTACAAAATGAGGTATTTATAGCCAAACAAATCCTTCTTGCGAGGAAGTTGAGAGGAAGCTCCCTTCCTTTGACCAGGAAGTTGCAAGGAAGTAGCCTTCCTTTGACCAGAAACTTACGAGGAAGTTCCCTATCTTTTACCAGGAACTTACGAGGAACTTACGAGGAAGTTCTCTTTCTTTGACCGGGAACTTACGAGGAAGTTCCCTTTCTTTGACTAATCTTCACACCTCAACAATCTCCCACTTGAAGATTGGTCAACCCGTTCATCTCTGCTCCTGGTTCTGCCAAGTCTGCCTGTTTTAATCATCAAGGCCGGTCGAAGCTACACACAGCTTCAACTTTTCCAAAGTTACCGCCTTGGTCAACATGTCTGCAGGATTCCTATCTCCCCGAACCTTTTTCAGCTGCAGCATCTTCTTCTCTAGAAGTTGCCGGATGAAATGATACTTAACCTCGATGTGCTTCGTTCGCGAGTAAAACGCGGGGTTCTTTGCCAGATGGATTGCACTCTGGCTATCGCTGTATAGAGCCACATCCTCTTGAGGTCTCCCAAGTTCATTCAAGAAGTTTTGCAGCCAAACGAGCTCCTTGGCTGCCTCCGTCACTGCCACGTACTCAGCTTCCGTTGTGGACAATGTGACTATCTTCTGCAGCTTTGAGATCCAGGATACGGCCGTCCCGCCGTAAGTGAATACGTACCCAGTAGTACTCCTCCTCTTGTCAAGATCACTTCCTGCAAAATCAGCATCGACATACCCAGACAGGGTAAGGGTACCCCTGCCAAATACTAATGCCCGGTCCTTAGTACCCCTCAGGTACCTAAGGATCCACTTTACCGCCTCCCAGTGCATCACTCCAGGATTGCTCATGAACCGGCTGACTACTCCCACTGCATGTGCTATGTCTGGCCGGGTGCAGACCATAGCGTACATTAGGCTCCCGATAGCCGAAGCATACGGCGTAACTCTCATCTTTTCTTCTTCAGAGTCATCCTGGGGCGAATCCTTGTTGGACAACTTGAACTGGCTTCCCAATGGCACTCGAACCGACTTTGCAATATTCATATTGAATCTGCACAACACCTTCTCAATATAATCAGATTGAGAAAGCCAAAGTTTACCAGCATTTCTGTCCCTCGTGATTTTCATGCCCAGTATTTGTCTCGCTTCTCCTAGATCCTTCATATCAAATCTCCTTGATAGCTGATCTTTGAGCCTCTCGATCTCCTTGACATCTGATCCTGCTATCAGCATGTCATCCACATATAGCAGTAAAATAATGAAAGAGTTACCGAACTTCTTCACATAGCAACAATGATCAGCATTACACCTGGAGTATCCTATCTCCAGCATGAAATTATCGAATTTTCGGTACCACAGTCGAGGAGCCTGTTTCAGTCCGTACAAGCTCTTCTTTAGGCGACAGACCTGCTGATCATTTCCTCTATATCCCGCTGGTTGCACCATGTAAATTTCCTCCTCGAGATCCCCATGCAGAAAGGCCGTCTTCACATCTAACTGTTGCAACTCCAAGTTTTCCGCTGCTACGATGCTTAACACTAAACGTATAGTGGTTAACTTAACAACAGGTGTAAAAACATCGGTAAAGTCAATACCGTATCTCTGTTGGAATCCCTTTACTACAAGTCTGGCCTTGTACCGTTTTGTTCCATCTGATTCCTCCTTGACCCGATAGACCCATCTGTTTTGAAGAGCCTTCTTTCCTTGTGGGAGATCACACAAATCCCATGTGTGGTTCTTCTTCAACGAGTTCATCTCGTCTTCCATCGCAAGCTCCCACTTGCTCTTGTGGGCATCTTTAACTGCCTCTGCATAACAGTCGGGTTCCCCAGAATCAGATAAAAGTAGGTAATAAAGAGAAGGGGAGTACCTATCCGGGGCCCTTCTCATCCTCGGTTCTCGGCCCAGTGCCAGAGGCGTGCTGCTCTCAGCAATCGGTTCATCCGATTCTGGTTCTGCCTCTTCTTCTGTACGCTCGATCTCATCTATCTGAGCTCCCACTAAATCTGCTGGTCTCATGATTCCGGTATTTGAAATATCGAGACCAACATACTCCTGCATGGTCTTGTCATCGTCCAGGTATTCCTTCCGGTCCTTGTACATTATGCCTTCATTGAACACCACATTACGACTGCGAATAATTTTCCGATTTTGATCATCCCAAAATCTATACCCAAATTCGTCAGTCCCATATCCAATGAATGTACATTTGACGGACTTAGCATCCAGCTTTGTCCGGTCGTCATTCAAAACGTAAGCCAAACAACCAAAGGTACGTAAGAAAGAGAGATCAACTTTCTTACCACTCCAGACCTCTTCTGGAATTCTGTTGTTCAGTGGGACAGAAGGCCCCCGGTTGATCAAGAAAGCGGCCGTGCTGACTGCTTCTGCCCAAAACATCTTGGGCAGTCCACTCTTCAATCGCATGCATCTCGCACGCTCATTCAGTGTTCTGTTCATCCTCTCCGCAATGCCATTTTGTTGAGGTGTCCCTGGGACCGTCTTCTGCATCTGGATCCCATGATCAGCGCAGTATTCTTTGATGGCTTCACTGTTGTACTCGCCACCGTTGTCGGATCTGAGATATTTCACTTCCAGACCTGTCTCTTTCTCCACGAGTGCTCTCAATCTCCTGAAAGTATCAAAGGCTTCGGATTTTCTTTTCAGAAAGTACACACATACCTTTCTTGTGCAGTCATCGACGAACGTCATGTAGTACATCGATCCTCCAAGAGATGTCACCGGTGCTGGCCCCCATAAGTCAGTGTGCACGAGCTCCAGTTTTTCTGTCTTTGGAGCTCTCCCGGTGGTTATGAAGCTCACTCTCTTCTGCTTTCCAAGCACGCATTGCTCGCAGAGACCCACGTCCACTGACTCCAACTCGGGCAAAAGTCCTCTCGACTTTAGTACCTTCATTCCTTTTTCGCTCATGTGGCCCAAACTACTGTGCCACAAGTGCGATTGTGAGACAGCTCCTGCCAGGAGAATGTTTGAGCTGGATCTACTCGCCGTGTAAATTGTTCCTGACTTCAGCCCTCTTGCCAAAGTCATAGCTCCTCGGCTGACCTTCCACTTTCCGTCTCCAAACATTGTGTGGAAGCCGTCATTGTCCAGCTGTCCAACTGAGATGAGATTTCTCTTCAGTCCTGAAATGTGTCTCACATCACGTAGGGTCCAGCATGACCCATTTGCGGACTTGATCTGCACATCTCCCTTCCCTACAATTTTTAGGGATTTGTTGTCTGCAAGACCTCCTTCGTGCTTTTTGCTCCCTTCACATGGTAGGCGACGTTCCGAGAGAGCGAAAGAATTATAGCGCTCATCGCCTTCCGATCGAGCACCTTCCATTCATCATCGCTCATCTTCTCGGGTTTTTCCCCAAGAGGTGCGTAGAGGTCCTTCCCGTTCAGGTAAGCCTCCATTTGCATTCGCCAGAATCCAAAGTCGGAACCATTGAACCGTTCGACTTGAATCTTTCCCTCCATCTTATCTCCAACCTCCTGGCTCTGATACCAGTTGTTGGGAAATAAGGTCGGATAAGATGGAATAATAATAATACACCAATGTGAAATCAATAAAAGACACGAATATTTGTTAACCCAGTTCGGATTAAATCCTACGTCTGGGGGCGAACCAAGCCAGGAGAATGAACTAGAATAAGAGGATAAACCGAATGTTACAACTCACACAAGCCCGTATGAATACACTCTCTCTACTCTTTCTTCACACTTATATGTATTTCTTTTTCACTTGGATTGGATACAAATGAGGTTACAAAATGAGGTATTTATAGCCAAACAAATCCTTCTTGCGAGGAAGTTGAGAGGAAGCTCCCTTCCTTTGACCAGGAAGTTGCAAGGAAGTAGCCTTCCTTTGACCAGAAACTTACGAGGAAGTTCCCTATCTTTTACCAGGAACTTACGAGGAAGTTCTCTTTCTTTGACCGGGAACTTACGAGGAAGTTCCCTTTCTTTGACTAATCTTCACACCTCAACAAACACAACCACCAGCCTCCAACACTAGTTTCTCCACATTCAGCAGAGTATCTAGTTTCGGGTTCCTCCCCGTTGGTACTACTGGAGTGTTCTGTAGAAGCATCATGTTAACTTATAGCAAAATTAGCTTAATATATTAGCTATAATTATTTTTTTTAAGCATGAGAGAGTCATAATGTCAGGTGGCATACCTCATCACAAGATCCATTGTCATGGCAGTCATAGAGAGCAGAACTTGAAGTAAATAAGAAAGAACCTTCACGATTCCATTTTAAAGTTCCTTCCCTGTATATGATTTGTTCGGGAGCATAAAGTAGTGCTAACTTTTAAATAACTCAACTATAAATTGTATAGAATAAGCAGAAAAAATTCGAACGAAGAATACATGAGAAGCAAACAAAATGCATGTAATTTCAAGATTTCAGGTCGAAATACTATATTAATCAAATTCTGAAATCCATATCTCCTAAACTCGAGGAAAAATGTAATTCTTAAAATGCAGATAATAATTATGACAAAAAAACTATATAAACCAGTCATTGGCATACTACTCAGAAAGCCACAACACTTAGGGCAGGTCTCTTTACATGCAGATAGTGACATTGCCAACAAGACACCGTTTAAAGATGTTATTAGTTAAAGGAAAGTATTCGTGTTCATACCTAACTTCGCCTAGGTAGTCCGGATTTCGGGAAGGAGGAGCACAAAAGATAACATTAGGGAACTTATGAGCCACTTGGGTTCCCTTTAGGAATGGAACAATTCCAGTTTCTTTTAACTCGTCATGATGATCGATTGTCAATGTCTGTCCGTAAATTTGAGACCTGGGGTGCTCCTGTCACATTAAAGCATTCACATTGTTCAGCATTTTGTCACCAGAAGATGCGCGCGCACACACACACACACAAACACAAAAAAAATTCCAAATATCCCCATTAACACTTCCAATGAGGCAAAGAAATTATTGTCAATCATGAAACTAAAAAAATTATAATCTTCTCCAAAAAATGCATCCATTGCACAAACATCATTTGCCACATCAAACAATTTACTTATTGGCTCATATTTTGGCAAAATAATACCTTTTTCCATTGTTGAGCTACTATACGCCCGAGCACCCCCGGCCCAACAATCAACAAATCATCAACTCCAACCACACCCTTAGATGAAGCTTCCACCTCGTCATTAGCCGTGCCTAACCACACGATATAACATTAACTTCAACTGGTTCTAAAGAAGATAAAGACAAGCGTACGTTACACGCAACACTAGATAAGGTCACAACAAGAATCATGCAATAACATCATGACACCATACACAAACAAAGGATTTTGTATAATTCAACACACCAACACAATCACCAACACTTTGATTTCCTAAGACATTTCAAACGATTTTTCATTTTTTTTTTTTTTTTTGGTCATTTTTACAACTTAGTACAGCACAAAAATCACAATGCAACCAAATTATACACAGAACAGCAAATAATTTTTCATTTTTTCTTTGTTAGCAAACTCAATAATACCACAAAATTTATCAAAGATAACACACACACACACACACACACACACCTCTCGATAAGAGAGACCATACCGGTGGTGGAGGAAGCCTTGACTATGAAAGCCGGAGTGGACATCCAATGCGACGCCGTACAGCGGCTTCGCCGGCACGGTACGAAGAATTTCCCGTCAATTGGAATAAACAAAGTAGCTGAATTGAAGCTTAAATGAGAGAAATTCGAGTTTTTGGGCCTTTGGGAAAATCCCGCGAATTGAAAACAGCTCGTGGTGCAGAATTTTGTTGTATTCATTATATGTTTCACACACAGAAACCCAACAAGTGCGAGAAACGAACGACTTTTTTGGTTTCAGAGGGACTATTGAGGAAGAAAAGATAAATTAATAATCAAGTTTTGTAAAGATTATGTTTATTTTATTAATTAATACAATATATTCTATCGAATTATTTTAAAATAAATATTGAAATTTTGTTCAAAAATATTTTATTATACTAATGTATATAAACTAACACCTAAATAACCTTTCAAATGTTTTTTAATATATAATTACATTAAGTATCATATAAAATATTCACTTCATCACCATATTTAGAATAATTTCATACTAGCAGGATTACAACATCCGTGTATTACATGTTTATCGATTAAAATATTTATACATAAAAACAAAATAAAAAAATATTTATGTTAAATTTTTAAATGCGTGTTAAAAATTATATCATTATTTTATTTAACTTATATTTATAAAGATGGGTTAATTCTCTTTTATACATGTAATGGGGATGTCAAATTGAAGTATAACGATGAATTTGATATTATACATATGATAAAAGTTAAAGGGTTATAGATTTAAAAAATATATATTTATGAGTTCAGTAGATTGTTTTATAATTTTATAATTCCTATCATACGTTGATTAAAGTCCAATCTAATACTTCAAAAATCAAATTTGATCCATAGAATTTCCAAGCATAGGTGTCCCACACATGTGATATAAAGGAGCTTATGAAATTCAAAAAACTCTTAATTTATCTATATGTAGAATATCTTATAAGGCAAGTAAAAATAACCTCTAATATCCCCAAGCTAACGGTTCGGTCGAGGTTGCAAATCGGATCAAACTAAATGGATTGAAGACAAGATTGGAGAAGGCTTCGAGTGCATGGGTCGATGAGTTTGTTAGACATATTATGATATACTCAAATCTTTGCATATCTTTAGTTTATTTGTTTCCTTCTTTTCCGTATTGTACTCTATATATTCGCACTCTTGTATTTAGTTTAAGCAAGTGAGAATAAGATCTCTTTGATTATCACATGGTATCAGCCAAACTCTTTGGCAAACCCTAATTTTTTTTTCCGGCCGTCGCTGTTTCTTCCATGGCCGCCGAGGGTAGCATTCCTTCGATTCCTTTGTCTACAATGATCCATATGGTAAATATCAAACTCACTTCCGCAAATTACCTTTTGTGGCATGCCCAGATCGAACCCCTTCTCATCACCCAGGGTTTTCTTCCGCATCTGGATGGCTCATCCCCATGCCCATCGCGCGAGATCACTACACCGGTAGGTACAAAAAGTACCAATCCCGAGTTCGCCGCTTGGTATTCCCGGGATCAACTGATCCGGCTATTCCTTGTTTCCACTCTTACGGAGGAGTCCATGGTCGTTGTCATTGGCTACACTTCGTCCCGCGATGTCTGGACCTCTCTCACTCGCGCCTATAGCCATGCCTCGAAGGCTCGAGAGCTCAGCCTGAAGGATGATCTTCTCTCGGCCAAGCGTGGCGATCTTTCTGTTTCTGAATATGGACAGCGTTTCAAGGCAATTTGTGACAAACTTGCTGCCATCGGTCGGTCTATTGACTCGACCGACAAATCGCACTGGTTCCTTCGCGGCTTGGGGCCTGCTTTTTCGACGTTCACGGCCGCACAACTTGCTCAAGACCCCCTTCCTGACTTCGACACTCTTCTTGCCCGCGCCGAAAGTCACCAATTTTTCCAACGTTCATCTGACATCTCGTCATCGTCTTCTTCAGTTGCATTTTATGCTGCTCCTAGGGCCCGTCCTCTGACCTCGTCTCAGCCACAAGGCCGCTTCAAGAAAAATAAAGCCAAAGGTCGCCGTCAGCCTTGGTGCTATTTCTGCCGTGAAGAAAACCATGATGCCTGGGACTGTCCTAGACGTTTTGACCGCTCTTTCACTCGGCCGTCCCGATCATCTACTACAGCTAATCTGGCCGAAGCACTATCATCGAGCTGCACTATATCACAACCTAATGTTTCTGATTGGTACTTAGATACTGGGGCTTCTGCTCATATCACCTCGGATGCGTCTCAGCTTGATGATCTTACTGATTACAACGGCTCCGATCGTGTCACCGTGGGTAATGGTGATCAACTTCCTATCACGCAATCTGGTTCTCTTTTTTTCTCTAATTCTTTTTATTTACGCGATGTCCTAGTTGTGCTCGGAATGACTAAAAATCTTTTGTCGGTTAGCAAATTGACCAGCGACTTACCTGTTCATGTTATCTTCACTGACTCTTCCCTTCGTATTCAGCACAAGGACAGCGGCAACATAATCGCAACCGGCGTGCGTGATAGTGGCCTATACCGTTTGGATTTGGCAGTCAAGGCCCTTGCTGCTCACACATCCATATCTCGGCGTGCTTCCTCTGCGATTTGGCATTCCCGACTTGGACACTCCTCTCCGGTTGTTTTATCTACTTTAGTTAATTTAAAGTTGTTATCTGTTACTTCCGGTTTTCCTAAGTCCGTCTCATGTAATTCGTGTCATTTAGCTAAAAGCAAGCGTTTGTCTTTTCCTATTTCAACAAAACGATCTTCTGCTTTATTGGATTTAATTCATTGTGATTTGTGGGGACCCTCCCCGGTTACTTCTACTGCTGGTTTTCGATATTATGTTATTTTTGTGGATGACTACTCTCGCTTTACTTGGTTCTACCCTCTTCATGCCAAATTTGATATTTATGAAGTTTCTATAAGCTTCCAGGCATTTGTGGAAAATCAGTTCTCTTGCACCATCAAGCGTTTTCAGAGTGACGGGGGTTCTGAGTTTGTTAACAACCGTGTTAAAGCACACTTTTCTAAATGTGGGATTCACCACCTTCTCTCTTGTCCGTATACTCCGGAGCAAAATGGTAGAGCTGAACGGAAGCATAGACACATCACGGAGATGGGTCTCACTCTTTTGTTTCATTCTTCAGCTCCTCTACACTTCTGGGTTGAAGCCTTCAGTACTGCTGTGATCACTATTAACCGACTTCCTTCATCGGTTCTTGACAATATTTCGCCGTTTGAATGTGTCTATGCAATGCAGCCGAGTTATGATCTCTTTCACGTTTTTGGTTGTCGGGTTTTTCCATGTCTACGCGACTATATGAAGCACAAGCTCGAACCTCGCAGTCAGCCGTGCATCTTCATCGGCTACAACCTTTCTCACAAAGGTTTTCGCTGTTTGAATCCGTCGAAATCGAAGGTCTATATCACCCGCCATGCTCGCTTTGATGAATCATGCTTCCCTTTCTCTGCGAACTCATCCTCGGTTGCTCCTTCTTCTCTGGATATTTCGACTTATGTTGATAGCTTTCTTGCTCCGGCTACCGATCCGCTTTCCTCATCACCTACACCGCCACAGGCTCCTTCCACTTGTCGCATATGTGCGTCGAGTGACTTGGTCCAGCCATCCGCTGTTCCACTACTTACCCCTCCTATTGCGGACACTGCTGATGCTCTTTCTCCCGAACAGCGTGTTGCTGCGCCAATCGGTCTCCAGCCGGATACCGCGCCACGAGCTCCTCCTGCTGCGCCACGTGCACCTCCTGCTGCCACGCATCCAATGCAAACTCGCGCAAAGTCCGGTATTTTTAAACCCCGATATCCTGCCACCATTAACTGTGCATCTCTTCTCACTGCTCTTACGGCTATTCCGGAGCCCCGTGGCATAACGACTGCTCTTAAATCTCCACAATGGACGAGTGCTATGCTTGAGGAATTATCTGCCTTAAAGGCGAATAATACTTGGTCTCTCGTGCCGCGTCCTTCCTCCATCAACATAGTCGGTTCAAGGTGTGTGTTTCGCACTAAACTTCTTGCTGATGGTTCTGTTGATCGATATAAAGCTCGCTTGGTTGCCCAAGGGTTTAGCCAACTTCCTGGTTTTGATTTCACTCACACCTTTAGTCCGGTTGTCAAAGCATCCACTATTCGGATTGTTCTTTCACTTGCTGTTATGCACTCTTGGCCACTTCACCAACTGGACGTCAAAAACGCCTTCTTAAATGGTGTTCTCTCTTCTCCGGTCTTTATGGAACAGCCCCCTGGCTTCATTGATCCTCGTTTTCCTGACCATGTCTGTCAGTTGAATAAAGCCATTTATGGTCTCCGGCAAGCTCCCCTTGCTTGGTATCAACGCTTCCGCAGTTTTCTGCTTTCAATTGGCTTCGTCTGCAGTTCTTCAGATACATCTCTCTTTGTTCACAAGCGTGGCGACACCTTAGTCTATCTTTTGGTTTATGTTGATGACATAATCATCACCGGCAATGTTCAGACTGTCCTTGCAGCCCTCATCTCTCGTCTCAATCGTGAGTTCGCGATTAAGGATATGGGCTCTCTCGGCTTTTTTCTTGGTCTAGAGGTTACTCGTTCTTCTTCGGGCTTATTTCTTAGTCAGACTAAGTATGCCTTGGACATTCTTAAGCGTGCTGAGCTCCAGGACTCCAAGCCCGTTGCTACCCCGCTCGCACCTGGCTCTTCCATGACTAAACATGGTGATCTTTTTGACAATCCGACACTTTATCGTTCTCTTGTGGGTGCGCTGCAATATTTAACAATCACGCGCCCGGATATTGCTTATTCGGTAAACACTGTCAGTCAATTCCAGCAACATCCGACCATTGATCATTTCCAATCCGTCAAGCGGATTCTCCGTTACGTCAAAGGGACGCTGAACAATGGTTTATCTTACTCTGTTGGTCCTTCTTCTCTTGTTGGATACTCGGACGCTGATTGGGCACGGTGTTCTGACACTCGTCGCTCAACCTATGGCTATGCTATTTATCTTGGCCCCAATCTTGTTTCCTGCGAAGAAACAGCCAACCGTGGCTCGCTCTAGTTGTGAGTCTGAATATCGAGCCATTGCTCACGCTGCTTCGGAAATTCAATGGGTTATGAATCTCCTTCGTGATTTGCATGAGGTTCCCACATCCTCTCCAACGCTCTACTCTGATAACACGAGTGCGATTTTTCTCACTCAAAATTCGGTCTCGCATAAGCGTGCCAAGCACATTGATATCGATTATCACTTCGTTCGCGAACTCGTGGACTCTGGGCTGTTGTTCACAAAATTCATGGAGTCCGACAATCAGGTGGCGGATATATTCACGAAGAGCTTACCGCATGGTCTCTTTGCTTATTTCAGGACCAAGCTACGCGTTTCTGCTGCAGACCCGACTTAGATTGAGGGGGGGTGTTAGACATATTATGATACACTCAAATCTTTGCATATCTTTAGTTTATTTGTTTCCTTCTTTTCCGTATTGTACTCTATATATTCGTACTCTTGTATTTAGTTTAAGCAAGTGAGAATAAGATCTCTTTGATTATCACAGAGTTGACATTTGTTCTCTAGGCATATAGGACAAAACTCGGAGGTCGATTACGGGGGAGGCACCATTTAGTCTGACATATGGCATGAATGCATTATTACTGGTAGAGGTTGAGCTGAATCACATCAGTCGAGCACATATGATAAGGAGCATACGAGGAGTTGGCTTGAGCAGCCGTGGATACCATTGAGGAGCTTAGGCAGCAAGCGCCTACCAGAGTGGCAGCTTACAAACAACGGATGCGAGCCGCACATGAAGAAGATTAAAATTCGACGATTCCAGGTATGCGACCTGGTATGGAAGAGGATCGACGTCGTAAAGCATGGGGGAAAGCTCAAACCACACTGAGAAGGTCCATAGTTGCTCGAAAAGGAGCATGCATGAGGAGCATATTCGTTAAAGGACATTGGTGGGAGACCTTTGCCCAAGTCATGAAATGTTCGAATTTGAAGAAATACTATTCTTGATTTTTTTCTTTTTTGATGATCGATGTTATTGGTATACACGTGGAGATATTAATAAAGATATGCAGTTACTCTATATTGTTATGTTTGTGGTGTTGCATTCTACCTCAGTGGCAGGTCGCCATTTAGTAAAATCTACCATGATTAAGGCTTCCGAGCTAGGTGGTCAATTCGAGTACGAGGTCGGAGAAAAAATTCATCATGACTAAGGCCTTTGAGCTTAGTAAAATCCACCATGATTAAGGCTTCCAAGCTAGGTGGTCAATTCGAGTACGAGGTCGAAGAAAAAATTCATCATGACTAAGGTCTTTGAGCTGGATGGTCGCTTGTTTGAACGACGCATGTGGCGGGTTGGACAAATGTTCAAGGCAAAATCCACCATGACTAATACTATCGAGCTGAGTGGTCGCTTATTTAAACGACCCCAGTGGCGGGTTGAGCAAGTGTTGTGTACAAAATCCATCATGATTAAGGCTTTCGGGTTAGATGGTCGCTTGTTTGAACGACCCCAATGACGGTTTGGGCAAGTGTTCAAGGAAAAATCCACCATGACTAAGGTTTTCGAGCTAGGTGGTCGCTTGTTTGAAAGACTCCAATGGTTGGTTGGGCAAGTGTTGATGACAAAACCCATCATGACTAAATCTTTCGAGCTGGGTGGTTGTTTGTTTGAACGACACCAGTGGCGGGTCAAGCAAGTGTGGAAGACAAAATTCATCATGATTAAGGCCTTCGGACTGGATGGTTGAGCAAGTGTTCAAGCAAAAAGACCCACACATATTCTAAATCTTGATGACAGATCGACCTCAAATGGGAGGAAACATTGATCGATATATCAAATAAGACAACTCGAGCAGAAGGTCGATCAACCATACGAATTCTAAGATCGAAGCTGAAAACTTTTAAAGTGTGGAGCCAATTATGGGGACCTCAGTGGCAGGCCTAGCAATTATTTTAAATTTTGCTCAAGTGTTTGGTTATCATAAACAAAACTTGGAAGCCTCAGTGGAAGGTCGATTAAAAAGGTAACTCATTTGGCGTGATTTTTATTACTTAAAATGTCGGAGACCTCAGTCATAGGTCGATCAAATTGGCAATTCAATTGGTGTAATATTTACTGTTCGAAACAATACTGCGTGGAAATAATTTTGAAGACCTCGAAGAGAGGTCGATTATCAAGACAAACACAAATAAGAAAACAGTAAATAATTCATTCAACAAAAGGAAAATTACAAGGTTGATTATATAACACAAGTTTAAAAGATAAATTACAGCAATAAAATACATGTCTACTTCGGCACATCAGAAGCCTTGTCAGTCTCGGAGGTCGACTCGATAGTCGGGGTCGGCTTAAGGGCGCTCGAGAAGATCGACAGCTCGATAGTCTGGCCCGAGGCATCAGCATCGACCCTTCAAGAAACAAGGTCTGCCTGATTCGTCGATGATTCCCCTGGAGCTAGAGAAATGCAAAGAATTAGAGTGACAACCAGCTTGGGAAGGTCGAAGTGTTGTTTCAATGAGGTCGAACATGAGAGAGTTCTGACCACTAGGCATGCTCTGAGATAGAGTAGCATCGCCCTCAAAGTTAGAGGGGGCATCAGGTATAGCCTCCCAGATGGCCTTGCGGTCGAATGTACCAGTGAAGTCTGTAGCACGAGCCTATTTTTTGGCCTCGTTCAGGCCGACTGTGTAGTATTCCACCGCGAGTGGTGAGCTCTTCTGAAGGAAGACGGTAGACTTAAGAAAGTCGATCATCTACTTATGGAATTCCTTCAAGAAATTCTAACTGATGTTTGAGGAGAATAACAGTTGTCGAGCCCTCCCCGAGACTAGCGATGGCAAAAACTAGGGGTGAGCATGGTGCGGTTCGGTGCAAAACCGCACCGAACCGCAAAAAACCGAAAACTGATTTTTTTTCATTGACCCAAACTGAACCGCACCGAAACATGTAGAAAAACCGAACCGAAACCGCACCGAAATTTTCGGTTCGGTGCGGTTCGGTTTCGGTTAACCGCAAATTTAAAAAAAAAAAAAAAAAAAAA